TGCAGGTTTGGACTTTGGCTGGACCATTATTACTTGTGGATATGTTTTGATTGAAGCCATTTCCTTGCTGTATTTTCTGGTTCTAAAATGTTGGACCTTATTTGAGTAGAACACCGTCCTCCACATGCTTGTAGCGTTTCCCTTCGTGTGCCAAGATTGAAACAGGACAGCTTTGGCTTTGTGTGATCGTCAACTTTCCTGTGGCCTCTCTTCCATTCATGCCTTAGCAGGGTTGTCGACGTACCATCACTTTTTAGGGATGCACGTCGAGCAGTTCTCTGTGACATGTTTAAGGTAGAGGCTACGCAGTGACAGTTCTTGTATGAATGTTGCCGTGGGCGCAGTCCTGCATAAAGCATTTCTCTCCATTCTCAGCAGTAAGAAAGGGAGGTCTTCTCAACACATGGGGGCTCCAACTACCCATTGACAGCACATGTGTAAAAGCAATAGAAAACTTGTTCTTGTGCACACCGCTTGCTTTTGTTTTCCTGAGCGGAAAAAAAAAAGAAAAAAAACAGCCATGTGTGTATCATAAACTAACACCTGATTTAATCGTCTTCACAACTTTGTCCCTGATCTAGCTGGTGTATTCTTTGGTCTTTTATGATGCTGTTTGTTCATTAATGTTCTCAAATATCCGAGGTCTTTGCAGAACGACTTTCAAATCACAGTTGGTTTTTATTTGGAGGGGGTTTAAGACAAATGCTACACTTTTTAGAGTGTTACTTGTACAAATTTTCCTTCCACCTCAGAATTATACTTTATATTGGTCAAATAGTGTTAAGGTTTGTGGTTGAAACATGACAAAACGCAAAAAAAAAAAAGTCTAAAGCCCTATCGGTATTAAAACCAACAAAGTTAGGTATTTAGGAAAATTTGAGGAAGTCGGATACTTTCCTTCCCCACCAACATGTGTCCCTGTGGAAATAAACTGGAAACATTCCCTCTTCCTAATGGCCCTGATAGAGAGACAATTACAGCAGACCAACAGGGACCAGCCAAACCAGATTTCCATTTAGATTCGAGTCTGGAGCCTCGTAAGCCGTTCCAACGGCTGTCGGGAAAATATGCGTGTTTCTGCGAGAAATTGCATCAAAGCGTGACAGATCATACGGTCAGGAGAGCCATTTTCACTGCCGATTCTGAGCAACATAGTTTTCATTTATCCTTTCATCTCACTCCCCTCTTTGCTCGTGCACCTTCTATGGCAGCTCCTCTGTTTCTTGTTTTATTTATTTATTTATTTATTTCATTCTCGTGCCTTCATTGAAATGCTGAGATAAATCCACTTCGGTGAAACGGTCAAGTTTAGGACGATGAATCTCTCAGATGAGATCAGGGAGGTGTCACCACATGCAGAGCCTTTGGTCAGTGGAATCGTTTTATTAAAGCAGTTTGTCATTTTGGACAAGAGGCAGGTCAGGCTCAATGTCCTGCTTATGTCTGAGCTAAAACGCACAGCACACACTTAAGTTTGGCCTCTGCACGCTGCTTTTGAGCATAGATTTGTTTATGATTACAAACTCGTCCTACAAATCACCTTTTTTTTAAGGTTGCCGAGGATAAAACCAGGGGGGAAAAAGGGATTTTACATAACTAAAAAAAAATAAATAAAACATGTCAGTAATGCCAGTCAAAAATGAACAGACGACGTAACCTGAACATCCCAGGAATCCTCATATGAGATTAATCCAAAATAAGTCTCAAAATTAGGGGGGTGGGGGAAAGTTCAAAAAGAAACGGGAAGACTTCTCCAACAGCCTCATGTGAACTCATAAGACAAACGACGGGGAGAAGAACAACTCACTCCCCAAAGCTCCGGCTTCATCTGTTAAACCTGGCGGTGCCTCTGTCGTGGCTTGAGCGAGTCTTTCCGATAATAGAGCTGGCACTGTGGGGTTTATTGTCTCGCTCCAAATAGAATGCGAGCAGGATGGTATAGAAGAGCCTTCTGCCTGCTCAGCCTCAGCCAAGTGCATCACACAACTCTCCAGTCTTAGAAGAAAAGCATCAAAGCGCTGAAGCGACTGAGGAAATTTGCAGGGCGAAAAGGGGAATGTTATGGTGGGCAAATAGCAACCCCCCGCCCCCAAACTACCAAACATTTGTTGCAGAAAGTTAACTAGTTCAACTAAATGTGCAATAATAATATACTTTGCTACTATTTATTTTTTTTGTATTTTGTTACAATAGAACCACAAAATTCAGTGTAATTTGATTTGGAGTTTCATCTGGGAGATCAAGGCATGGTAGCACATAAGTGCCCCAATCAAAGTCCAGATCTGAATCTAATAAAGAATCCATAGGAAGACCCGAACATGAATTTTCACAGACACTCTCTCAGTCCCATCTGACTTTATTGGAGCTGTTTTACACAGAAGAGCGGGCACAGATGTCAGCCTCTAGACACAGAAAAGACTCACGGATAGAAGTAACTGCAGCAAAATGTGTTTCTATTGACTCAGAACAATAGGTTTGTTTTTTGTTGGGTTGTTTTTTTTCAGTTTTTGAATATTTATTATTTTCTTTCAACTGCACAATCATAGGCCACACTGTGGACGTCTACCGATAAAATATATTGAGCTTTGTGGTCACATGACAAAAATGTTCAAAGGGAAGTTATAACTTTTGTGAAGAACTGTTTTCAAATTGGCGGGGGGGGGGGCATAAAAGATCTAAAGTGGGTAACAATAGTGACTCTTACTGCTTTGTCTTCGCTTTGCCAAATACATTAGCCGGCTCTTTCAAACTTTACGCATCTTAAAAACTACTCATCTGCTTCTTTAAAATCGCAGATGAAAGGACAACTTTGTCAGACCATAGATTTAGTTTCTTAAACAAAAAGATGTCGCAGTGCCTCACTTAAGTACAGAAATGGCTTTCCTTTATAAGGCAATTAATTCTCCTCTTTGAAGTGTTTATACCTGACCATAAACAATTCAACAATACAGGACGCGCATCCCCCCCCCCCACACTTTTATCTTTGGATTGTTCCTTCTTTGGACGCCCGGTGTGCTCGGGCCAAACGAACAGCTTAGCTGAGGACACAGGCTGTCATTAAAATAAGCTGAGCTTTTTGCATCCTGTGCTTTTCAGAAAGCGGAGCCCAGACAGCAAGAGAGGGGACTGGGAGCTCTCTGCTGGGTGTGTCGCTTCAGATTATTTAGCAGGAGGAACAGGGCTCCTGTATAATCCCCCTCCTGCTGCTCCTGCTGTGTGATAAGCACCACTACTGTCTACCGCAAGACACCACTTCTTTATCCCCCACCGCACATACACACACACACACACACACAAACACACAAACACACACAGACCAAGGGTTCAATATAGCAAACAGCAGGTAATTACCAAAAAAAAAAAAAAATTAAAGGCAAGTGACCCCATCTGGCCCTGCGGTGTTGTTGCCTGTGATACACAGAGGCCCTCGGGTTTGTCCTCTGATGAAACTGTGAAATGAAGAGGTGCATGTCCCTCAGTGAGCTGTACCAGGATTGCTCCCAACATAATGTAACATTAGAAGGTCATAATCTCACCCTCCGAACGGCAGAGCGCTCAATAATCGTGAATTATTGAAGCCGTTGTCCCCATTTACTTTTCCTCGCCTGCAGGAGTGGATGTAGTTATGCCTTCTGTTTGATCCATCAAAATGAAAAATAAACCCAGGTGCCACCCATAACGTGTTGACCTATGTCCCCTCATGCGGTCCGAAGCATTTGTTGCGGGCAGGACGGTGTACATGTTAATCTATGCTACTGGAACTTTCGATTTAGTGAAAAGTAGCTTGGAATTAGTTACATTTATCAATCATTTTTGGTTTAATGTTATCGAACGTGCAAGGAAGCATTGTTAAAGGCTCACAGAAACTGTTCATAAGTCTGTTTTGTTCTAGTTTTTTTTTTATGGCAGGGCTAGTCTTTGCTGATAGCATCGTTGCTCGTCTGTGGACCTTGTTGTCCTCACAGCCTCCCATGTACAGTATGTGCAGCAAATAGGAAGGAAAGAGACTGGAAATTGAATCCAGGACAAACGCGTCAAGAACTACTGCATCTGCACAAGGTGTGGTGCTCTACCAACCGAGCCATCGCCTGCTGGACTTTCTTATTGATAAAGGGAAGTTGTTCCTTCCCACTATTGCCTTGCGCCTGTTTGTTTGGATTTTACTAGAAGATTGAAGGTGATCTCCTTATTTCCTTGGATAGACTTTTTTTGTGTTAATTTGCATTATCTGTATGCTTGTTTGTAATGGCAGGTTTTGAGTTTACCTGGGATGGAGAGTGGCTTGTCCACGTTGTCCCGCCTCTTGCAGATAAGCACTGCTCCACCTGTGACCATGCAGGATTAAAAGGATATTTCAAGACTTTTGGACTAAAGCTCTGTGAATATGTTAAAAGCAGATAGTACTGTACCCAAGGTAAATAACTATTTATTCTGGTAAAAGGGTTTTTAGGTTGATAGTAAAAATGATTTACCAACAGAATTTATGTGATAACATTTAGAGCATTCTTGTATTTTGTCTCTGAACCCAATTGAGTGTGGTTGAGCACTGATCTTTGCATCTTTTTTGCTTCCTTTTTGGGCATCAAAAACAATTATGTCATATAGTTAAATGCAGGTGATCAAATAAAAGAAGGGTCAATTTGTGCCTACATGGCACCGATTTTACAAATCAGTGGAGTCCTGCACATACCATGTAAAACAGTTCCCCATTCCAACTTCCTGTATATGCATAAAAGCAATAGGAAACTTGTTCCAGGAACAACCGACAGTTTTTTTTTTTTTTTTTTTTTTTTTTAAATCTTTGATTTCTGGTGCATCTCCTTTCTCATGCCCCCCTGGGCAACTGCCCATTTACTCCACACCAAAGACCTTTAATGAACATTTTTGAAATATAAATATATGTTAAACGTGTTTTTTTTTTTTGTTTGTTTTTTGTTGTTTTATTTATTTATTTATTTATTTTTAATCGTCTGCTTTTTGTGTTTGTTTTGTGTCGCTGCTCCCTTCGTGAGTCCTGCGTGTCTGGCAGCACCGAGGCAGCCAGCAGACGGCAGAAGAAAGGAGGAAGTGGAAACATCAGCACTATCTCTTCAGGGTGGGAGGAAACACCAAAGAGTGGCACACAGACACACGCACGGAGAGTCGCAGCGGCACACACACAAACTCCGGACGTCAGCGCTGTAGGGGAAGAAGTGTCCTCCTCGACTCGACAGGTTTGTTCAGTCACGTTCCCGTTTTTTGTTTTTAATATATTTGCTGCTTACATTCAGCTTCACCTTGCTTTGCGTTATGCGCTAATTGTTGATGAACCGCGATGTTTTGGTTCTGTTTTGCATCGCAGAGCCTTTTTCTCCCCCGTGTGTGTTGGTTACATTGTAGCGGGATATTTCTGTGTTTCCTGTCGGGTCTCTCTCTCTCTCTCTCTTCCTCTGTCTCCCCCTCTCTCTCCCCGCTGCTTTCTCCTTCACCCGCTGCATGTCGCTTACTTTGTGAAGTGGCCTTTAGCGGCTTTTGGGCGCCGTGCCCCCCCCCCACCCCCCATTCTCTTTTTGTATTGACACGCATGCCTGTTGTTCTGCATGGAGAGCCATCGCTGTAGTTCACAGCAGCTTTCAGACCCAAACGCGTTTCGGCCGCGGCGGATGAATTAAAGTGGCGGGTGGACTGGCTCCCTGCGCTTCTTTTAGTTCTGGTTTCGTGAAACAAGTGCGCAGCGGCCGTGGAAGTTGCGTGTTTCGCAGGGTCGTTATGCGCAGCGAGGAAGCTGATGCTCCCGCTGCCCTCCTCGGGCTTGTTTGCAGAACAAGTGCGCGTTTGTCGTTGTGGATTCAGAAAGTGCAAGCACCTATAGATGCCTCATTAGCGGTCTTTGACTCCGGCCCCCTCAGGCTGGCCGCGCTGTGGGCCAAGAGGAATGCTGATGAGCATTGAAAGCCCCTCTGCTTTCTTTGACATCACACCGATGCACGTGTGGATTGCAGTTGCGTTCGTCGCATTTTCGTCTCCTTCGCACCTCAGCGTGAGAAGTTTCCGAAGGTTTTGTCTTCGTTCCTATTATATGCGTCCGATTCATGTGTCAGAAACTTTTGAGAAGTATTGCGTTTTTACTGGGGCAAAGAAACACGATCACCGATATTCGTGTTAGTTGCTTGATGGCTTCTGTAACCCATGTATTACATCTGATATTAGGGAAGCTTCCCCTGCTTGACCTGTTGTTTTTTACTGAAAGTACTTTTTTTTTTCTCCATTGCGTTTATTTAAGAGAATAGATTTCCCAACATTAATTGATTTTAGGTGTGAAAGCTTGTTGGCATGAGTAAGCTATAATTGCAAAGCTGTTTAATCAGCGGTGTGACACCGTTCCTAATCCGTAAGGTTTCCTATGGCATGGTCCACATTTGAGAGCTATAAATAACTCCGTCCCTTCTTGGGAGGCTGTCTACGAGGTTAAGGAATGTGTTCATGGAAACGTTTGACTATTCTTCAAGAAGCACATCTGGGAGGTCAGACACTAATGTTGGACAAGAAGTGGTCTTTTGATTCCGTCCAAAAAGGGTTCTGACGATTGAGTTTCCAGTAAGTTTCCGATGAGCTTCCTAAACATTGGAATGATACACAAATGAGACTTTTGCATCGCACTTATATGTTGTGAGGCAGTTTTATGTGCAGGCTACAACCAATGACTTCATCATACTTACATTTCAACTTAAAAATGGACACAATGTGATTTTTTTTTTTTTTTTTAGATATCCTAGCCTACTTCATGCTTTAGTCTACTTCATGTAGTCAGACAGGAATGATTTCTTGATGGTCCAGGTTTGGGAATAATCATACTGTTTTCGTTGTAGCTCCCTCCGATGGTGGCTTCGAGGCATAGCAGTTCAACCAAGTAGTGCCCTTATGGTGTCTTTTAATTATCATCAGAAGTTCTAAGTTGGAAAAGCAAATAGTCTGATTTATGTCTTGATAGGTTCGAACTGAAATTCAGTATGGCTGCCATGCACCTCGTCAAACCAGTAATTCACAATCGCATTCAATAATGTCTGTACGTAAACATGTGCCTTCCGTGTTTAAATGTTGAAAACATAGAAAATGCATCGATTTCTTCTCATGTCGCTGAAGGTCAATTGCCTGGACGCTGAACAGAACACTAAGGAAATATTACTGGCTTCTTGCTTTTACCTAGAAAGCATTCACTCACATGGCTACTTAAAAACAGTAGAAACCGTACCTTCATTTATGCAACTTTAAATGACGGACAAAGTTGGAAGTTGTTCCATGTCCGTCTGTTTCTCTTCTTGCATGTTTTGCATGTTGCGCTTTGTTTTTCGTTGAGTTCTCCGTAGTTTATGTACCCAAAAGAAATTACTCTTGGTAGCATACTTGTTTTTAGTATTTTCTTTTTTAATCTGGATGACTCACAGAATATGGAAAAAAAGAAAGATGGGCTGCATTTGTTAATATGGAATGAGTGAAATAAATTACTGGTGCACACTTTGTAAATTTCAGATTTTGGATAAAATATCAAGTCTTTTCAGTTGAACAGATTCAAGTCTGATTCGAGCCCCAAGTCAATGTTGTAAAACACCAAGTCACAAGTCACATGACTCGAGTCCCCACCTCTGAAATCTCCTAGTGCCATTTCTGTTTTTGTTAGCTAGCAATAGCACTGTAGCACAGCTAGCCGTTTCAGGAAGTTAGGGCAACAAAACAAGAATTTAAACCCTCTGAGTCTTTTGCTTCGTAGCTCATGGAGTCGTTTATGGTGTGCTTAATGAATTTTGCACTTTGTGAACCATTTTGATCGATAGTGACTTTAATGAGCGTGTTCAGTAGCTTCCTGTAGTCGTTGCTGAGGACATTCCTTTTAATACTCTCGATGTTGCTGTGATACAAGTTCATCTGGCGCTGAGTCATCAGCTGGTGGCTCAGCTGTGAAAAACCGGAGATATTGCCCTTTGCTACGGACATATGCATAAAATATAATGCATCCAAGCTGTGGAGCATTAGCTCTGACTTTGAGCACGGTTCCTAGTGGGAACAAAAATGTGTTTCCCTTCTTTCCCGTTTTTATGGAGACTAAGTAATCTAATTCATTCTTCTGTTGGGCATCAGATGCAGACTGAGCCTCCAAGCCCCACTACATTATTTTCTTATAGCAGCTGAGTTTAAAACAAGATTCCTTGGTTTATTTAAAAGCTTACTTTTTCTGCCGGTGCATTTTCACCTCTCATTCTTGAGTTGTCTTGCACATGAATGTCTGTGTGCCATTGAAATGCAGTAGTGTCTTTTTTTTTCCTTTGTGTGTTTGCAGACAAGAGACAACTTTACTTTAGATTAATTTGCTTTGCTTTTATGGTAATTAGAGGTTTTTCTACGCTACACAGAAGCTATATGTACTCGACTAGCTAATCCTATTCCGTCTTACGAGACATAAATATATTTATTTGTCTATGAAGGTAAAAATAAGCATGCTAAGACAAATAATAAGCCATCACAACTCCTGGAATCGCACCGTTTCTCCCCTTCACACTTTGTTCTCTTCTTTTTAGTTATCTAAGCAACTTCTGGTAGTTATAGTTAGATACTAATGAGGCTCTTACTTTGATAGCTCATCATGCATGTTTTCTGTGTCGAACCAGTCTAACGACTAACGCAAGTAAATGTGAGGACTACGAAGAAAACTACAGGACTGTGTGCAGTCACGTCTTAGTTTCTTACGGGCCTGAATCCGTGGAGGATCTCATCACAGAAAGTTATCGCTCTCTTCTTCATTTAATTAGTACACCGAGTTAAAGTGTGAATTGCTGCTGCGACTTTCTATCAGGGACATGCTTGAATGATTAAACGGCGACCCTGAGGAGTGAACTACGGGGAGATTAATTGTAAGGTCAGCGTCGTGTGGGTAGTTCTCATTTCGCCGAGCTCGATAACCTTTTGTTCTACGTGATTGTGATTCTCTGTCGAGGCAGCGTGATGAACTTGTAGCTCGCATCTTTTCAAGCCGTTCCTTATGAATCCTGCGGAGGGAGCCCGTTGAGATACAGCATCACAAACTGTATTAGTCTGAGAGAGCTTATTGCCAAGAGTTCTGACTTTGCTGCCCAGCATTGCAACTGACATTTAATTTAAACTAATAAATGTTTTGTTTTAAACATTCAGGATATTTTAAATGTACTATATTCAGTCAAAGTGCTGTTACATTTAGATTTTTGACATGATAAACATTCAGTTTTGAACCTTACGATGACGACTTGTTTGGCATCATTGTGTGTTAGTTGATTCGTATAAGATAAAATGGTTAGTTTTCACGGCCTCTTGTTTTGACTGGTATCTATATCATAAAATTGTTGTTTATTTAAAGAGACTGGCTTATTGTTTTAAAGAAAGATGCTTGATTTTGGCTAGTTTACTTTCCCCGACTCATAAAACTCGGCTGGTTAGGCTGAGTTGGGCAGAAGATCGAGAAGTCTCTGGAGCTTAAAGGTCAAAAACCAAAGGTTCCCACAACGTTACCGCGATAAAAGTGTTAGGCCTCTGTTCTTCTATTACATTATACGCCTGGCAGACATTAAGAGTTCACCGAGTCGTAAAATAAACGTTATCTTACAGACGTGCTCAATTAAGCACTCGCACCCCGACGTCTTCCTGCCTTACCGACAGGTTTTTTACTTTTGCCACATACTGTAATTGTCTTTGAGATTCTTCACAGCTCTTTATTACATCAGAGGAATGCAAATGGTGCAGAAAATGCCCCGTTTGCAGAGGAGCACACGCGGAGTTTGAAGAGGAAGGCTCGCCTCAGCACAGAGCTGATGGCGCTGAAGCTGAAAACGCTGTAACACCTCATTAAGTATTTAAACATTTTAGGAAACAACCTTTGTAAACTTTTTTATTTCTCGTGTGTATTCTTGTAGCACTTTAGATATTTCAGTTTTCTGTTTTGTTGAGAGTATCACTTTTGTTGTTTAGTGTGTGTGTGTGTGTGTGTGTGTGTGTGTGTGTGTGTGTGTGTGTGTGCGCGCATTTTTATTCGGCCACGCTGAATACCTTGGAGAACCGCCTTTTCCTGCAACTTATGCATAGCAAGTTTCTTGGCTTGGTGTCTCTTATCAGCTTTACAATTCTCAAGACAAAATGTCTTTCCAAACAATCAGCTCTGTCCAGCTTTACTGTCCACAGCATGGTGCTGCCGCCACCACGGTTTTAACAT